CAAGGCATTAATTTTTGTTTTTAAAAAAAAAAAAAATACAAATTTATTTTCCTTAAATATCTGCATCAAAATTTGTGCTTGATCAAGTAGATTTGTACTTAAATATTAATTTTATCTTGTTCTAATTCTTTGTGTTTTATAGTTTTTAAATGATATTGTAGCAATAATTGAGTGGAAGATTAATGTGGGGCTGAGAAGCACTATAAGCTTGATATAAATACCAACTATCTGCAGCTTTTAGTTGGGTGATTGCTAAATTCCAAATGCAATAATGTTATAAGCAATTTTCTCTCCAAATGCATGGCATGTATGCAATTAATCATGATAAGATGCCAAATTTGAATAGGCAAAAATCCTATTTCCTTATTATAATAAGGATTATTAGAATTATTCTATAGTCATATGAGGACCAAATATTTTAATTTTGTAAGGCCTGGCTAGCTAGCTAGCTTGACCTAAAATATTTCCATTCAAATGAACTGCACTTATTACTTCAATCATTGCACTAGAAATTGAATTAAATCGGGTAGTTGAATAAGTCAGGTTATACGTCAACTTGCCTTGAAACAGATTCGATATAGTTAAAAAATGGGATTTGTGAAGCTCCGACATCAACATGTAAAAATTAGCAGTGGGAGATAATGAATAGGTTTGATTAAATATTATAATAGAGAGATTATGTTTGTAAGTAATATTTGTTGTGTTTATTTCATATTTATGCCTTATAATTAATTAATTAATCAATCAATTAATTATATATCATTAGAAACTTCATTTGATCAAGCACAAATCTCAATGCATTTGGGATTGAAATCTTTCAAAATTAAATTCAAGGCCATCCAAACACTGATTTTAGCAAGCATATAGCTGAAATGAACATCTAAATGAGAAACTCAATAACACCGTAAGTGATTTGATCGATCGGATTCAAAATAAGTCTAAATCAATCATCAGAAACATTGTTAAAAAATTTACGATTTTAATTAGACAACCAGTTATGGTCTCTAAATCTTGAATGTTTATATTCAAATCAAGAGTCGACAAGAGGAATCTAACAATTCGAATATCTCTTAGCTTTAGCACCATTAATGTACTCAAACATTTAAAAAACATCTTATGATTGAAGGGATCACTGCGAGCCATTTGATTGAATGTTTTAAATTTTGGTTATATTTAAAGAGAATGTCACTCTACAGAAATATAAATGTATCATCTTTTGTTTGTATGAAGGAGACCTTGGTTGGATATTCCAAAGAGAATAGATAGTTGAAGAATATCAAAGCTCCACCTTATTAGAATCATCACATGATCACTATCAAATTGGCACTGTTTGACCATTATCCTCATATTGTTCTTATCCGAAAATAGGGGTGTGAATATTTGACCTGACATGAAACCCGACACGGACATGACCAGGAAAATTCTAGGTTTGAGTCAACCCATTTTTCATACGGATCGGGTTCAAGTTTGAGGTTTTGACCCATTTGGGTTGACCCGAAAACCCGAAGTTGACCCAGTTGACCCAGATCCCACACTCAAACAGCTCGTTCCGTGCTTTGTACTCATATCACCTGCAGTGATCCGTGCTCATACATGCTGGTAGCACTCCTGCACAGGCCGCACTTGCCCTCCCATGCTCGATCGCATCCGCACCAAGCATGCCACACTCACCTCCTGCACCACACCCGTCCTAGTGATCATGTCGGCAATCTGACCCGCACTCGCATTGCACCCGCTCGCTCTATTATATATATATTGATGTCATGACACCCAAAATCCAACGTTGTTGTGTTACATACTGCTCTCAAAGTTATTGTACAATATATAGAGAGCTCAGCACTGCAGTGAAGCTTTCCCTGAGCCACTACGCCCTCAGCGGTGTTGCGTCCTTAGCGCTGCTGCGCTCTCAAGCACAATGCTGTCACACTCTAGCCTATTTTTTATATTTTTATTTTAAATTATTTTCACAATCTTAGGTTATTACACCCTCTCACATCCACTTTCAACAAGCGGGGTCATAATCACTCCCACATTCACACAAGATAAATAGAGCAAGAAAAGAACATATATAAAGCCCTTGTATCATTTTAGAGTGAGCACTTTTTATATTTCAAAACTCATAACTTCTCCAATATCACACTATGAATTATGCACATTTAAATGCAATAATAAGTAATTATAATTTTTTCTATTCTAATTACATATATAAAAATATACTCACTGAACTTTTTCTATTCTAATTATAACTTTAGAAGGATATTCAAATAAATATTTAAAGACTTTTATATAACTATCACAAATGATGTAAAACCCTTATTTATTGCATATGCCTAGAAATTTATGTATGGAAAACCAATCGGTAAAAATCTGATTTTTTATAGTCAAAATATTCAAAATGGAGCATATAACAATATAATAAAAGTTACACGGTAAAAATGTTGTAAAATCATGAGCAAAACACTTTTAAAAAATATCTTTTTATAAAACCATTGAAATTAAGATCAGGTATAAGAGTTAAAAAGTCTACCTCGTGCTCTACGAAATTCCTAATTGGCCCAACAGACGAATCACAAGCTATGGCCTACAAATTTTGCATCTCAGCATCACTGCACTACAAAAGAATTTTTCAGATCCTCCCCACAGCTTCCCAAATGAAAGCTTGGCAATACGGTGGCACCATTCCTAGCGACGCGACGTCCTCCCTCTACACTTGGTGACCTGCACTTTCTCAATTCAAATTCATAGCTTATTTAGGATTAATCAACCATAATAAAGCTCACAATCACCAACTAATCAAGATTAGGCAACATTCATTTTAATTTACATAAATTACCTAAAATTTTGAGATAATGGGTGTTACATGCTTGACATTCATTAATGAATTATGGTCGCCCAACCACCATCTTTGAATTGCTACTACATGACCACCATCACTTGACACCGCTCAATCTTCATTATTGAATTATTATCACCGGCCTCCTCCATCAGACCACTACCACTCAACCTTTGTCATCAAACCACTATTGTCTAAACTTTGGCATTGGAGTCTCACCACTTGAATATCATCTTCGGATTGTTACAACTCGATCACTATCGTTAGAATGCAACCACTCAATCATCATGGTTAGTTCACCGCCGCCCAAACATTCTATTCAATTTACTGCAGCTTGACTGCCAACATTGAATCACTATTATCCCGAGCCACCTTTTGATCATCATCTGACCACAACCGTTTTAATGTGTCTAATCTCTTGCAGTTCAACTGTATTTTCCACCTCACTCAGACAAGGCCAAACCATAACGAACCCATACTCTTGTAATCCCATCTTCTAAAATTTGTTTTATAGATAAAGTTTATATGTATATATATGTTGTGTGCTAGAAAAATCGCATTGATAAAGATAGATTTTAACATCCTAATTTTGCTTAAAATCTAGCATACTCACAAATAAATCTCAAAAATATATAAGACAATAGTATTTTTATATAAAAAGTTTAAAAAGTGAAAATTATAGGGTCCGACCCAATCAAAATAATCTATTGTATTTTTAAAGTTATTGAAGTTTGCTTTTCCCTATACTTGGAGAAGATAATATTACAAAGTTGGAATCAGTGGCTTGATTTATTACATTTATAGTAGAGATTATTGAGATGTAGTGGAGGGATGATGATGATGGATGGATGGACGACGTTAGTTAAATAACGATGATCGAATGACAGCAGTTAGATAGAGGGTGGTTGAATGATGGTGACTAGGCTATGACACCCGGACAGTGACAATCAAACAACGAGAACAACGATTGGGCAGATAATAATGGTGGATGGTGTTTAATAATGGAGCCATGATTTTTTTCTAATAGAGGCACAAATTAGTTTTTTTTTTTAATATTACCTCAACTTTTTTCATTCGAACTTGAGACTGACATTAGTAATTTAAAAAAAAAAAAAAAGTTTGAATTTATTCTTTTAAAAAGATAAAATGTAAGACATTAAAAGCCTACAAATTATTATGAATACTTCTCATATTTTAAAAAAGTTCAATGATTTTATAATCAATAAATCAAATATTTCTTTCTTATTATAGATAACTAAAGTAAATTCATCTATGGATCTCCAATTCTATTTTATAGTCAATTTTTTATAATAGTCATAGTAGAAATAAATCTTTGAACTTATATTGCAATTATCTTAAAATAAATTTTAAAAATTTTAATTTATGAAGATAAAATTTTGATTATAATATCCAAATAATATTCATTTAATATTTATTTCTATGTAACAATTAGAGCTACAACGAATGAAAGGATAAAGATTATAAATATGCTTCCAGTTTAATAATAATAATATAAAAATAAAAAATAAAAAGAATTATAAATTTTAATAGCGCTATCATTATTAAAATTTTAATTAGTTTTAACAATATCTATATCCTTAATTGAATCCCAAATCAACCTTTGAATCTCACCATTCAAAACGTTTGATCAGCCTTTTGTTTTTACTGGGCTTGGCCCAATATTGTTATATGATCAGCACGCATAGATCCTCGTTTACACTCAAATTTGGATTGTAAGCTCATGATCTTGGGCTTTAAGCCCATTCATATCTCGCCTGAGAAGAATATATATGTGTATGATGTCATGCCTTTAATTGATTTTTTAATATGAAAAAAATTAAACAAATTTTAATGGGGCTTCATTTTAAATCACAATGAGAAAGAAAATTCATATTTAAACTTTTTTTTTTATTTTCAAAATTGATGGGGCTTCATTTTAAAATATTTTTTTTATTTAAAAAAAATATTCATATTTATCTGCTTGTTTTCACTAAATATTATGAGGTGTGAGATAATTACCTTATGATACATAGGATCTTAGCAACAATATCCCTTTTGCGATGATAAATAATTGATGAAAGACCGAGGAAGGTCTCCATCTCCATCCAATGAAGAAAGTTCAACAAGGCAAGTTGGGCTGATCTTACAAAAGAGGGAGTCAGCACAGTCAAGGAAGCAATAGCTCACTCATCCCAATAGGGATAATCAACCTCGCAAACGATGCAATAGCTTCGGTGAGAGCAAAGCCCAAAATTGCATAACCAAATGATTGTTTAGCCAATGATGGATTTCGCGCCACTGAATGAATCAAAGAACTGAAAACGTTTCCAATACCGACAGCAGCTCCCGCTGAAGCAATTGTAAGCCAACTCTCATACGAGCTCCTGGCGGTTCATTCATTTGACCATAGACTAGAGCCACTTTGGATTCTGCAATATTTTTTTCATTAATCACCCCGGATTCTTTCATTTCCATGTAGAGATCATTTCCTTCACGAGTACGTTCACCTACTCCGCCAAATACGGATACGCCTCCGTGAGCTTTGGCAATGTTGTTGATCAATTCCATGAATGCTTAGGTAGTGGAGCAAATGTTGAGTTATATTGAGCTTATAGTTATAACAAGGGAAGGCATGCACAACCAAACACCCTTAGATGGCGTAGATTATCAATTCAATGTAAAGAAGCTGAAATGAGAATTCATGTTGATGGCCTTTGATGGTTCATATTGATTAGTTAGGCTACAATTAGTAAGACATCAAACCAGAATTGATGAGGCTAGTTAACTTCAAGAAGAAGTTTATTTCAATTTAATCTTGGTATTCACATTTGAAGACAATATTTTGCTTGAGCCCCAACCCCTGCCCCCCGACGTCAGAGTTGAGCCGTTGATCATGTTAAAGTTCAGAGCCATTTAATTTCATATGACATTTTGTATGGCTATATAGGTGTAATGCTTTCTTTTGTTTATGTAGTCTAGTATGTTGCTTTTTTTGACTATAAATACATAGCCAACACTTGTAATAGAAAGATGGTTGAGATGAATAATATTTAAGTTGGTTGAGATGAATGATATTTGAGTTGTTTTACTCTTATTTTGGATTTATGTATCCTGAAGGATTTCAGGTGGTGATCCCACTTCCAAGAAGGAGTTATTGGGTCTTGTGTGAGTTGCGAGTTCCTACAGCAAAGTGGAAAGGGAGGCTTCTTTATTAAGCAAATAAATAAATTTCAAGAATTTTCTTGTTACATACAGGTACTATCAGCATAAAACTGTGTAGATATATCACATTCTATATGTTTATTTACATATATTTTAAAGTGTGCTATCCTCTCCAATTAATGCATTTCTTTTTTTTTTCTATATTTTTATTAAAATCTTGTTTAAAAATATATAAAACTTTTAATTGAAATCTTTGAATTTTATTTGAAATTTTATTTTAAAAAATCTTGAGTAAACTTAGCTGAAATTGTACTAAAATGATTGAATTTGAAACTCACTTAAATTAGTCGAAATTAAAATATTTTAAAAATTTAGTGTAAATTTTAGCCCTCGATCTAAACGGTATGCTTCGTTTTCCCCTTTTTGCTACTCTCACAAGACTTGCGACTCACGACATCGAGCACGGCTTTCATTTTCCCTCACACATCTCTCGCCTCCAAACGAAGACCACTCGTGGCAGATATTTATGTCTACAAAGCTCTAAAAGCTATGTTATTTGCATTATTAATTTTGATCTTACAACTCTTCTGAGCTCCAGTAATGAGACGGCCTTTGGGTAAATTGCAATGTGATGAAATAGGAGTATATGTCATTATGGTCACTATCAGTGAGAATGATTTGGTTTATAATCTTATCCTTGATGCAAAAACCAATGGAATCAATGGAGATATAATAGTTATTATTAGCAAAAATTTTGTGAGAGTTATAGAGCATGTAGAAGTGTAAGGAGGAGCTTATGATGAAGGGTGAATAAAATTCCTTGTCTAGTCTTAAATATCATGATGGAGGCACCATTAGTGACAATAAATTGCTCATTCCCTTGATAAACGAATGACTGATAAAGTTTTGGAGTTAAGGTATAATGAGTATGAGGCCCTTGAATCTAGGTACTGGTTGAGAGAGGAGGGTTGTTAAGATATTAGTAGAACAATGGGTTGGACTATGTGGTCGGATAGCTATAATTAAGGTTTCAACGATGCCAATAGATAAAGGTAAAATGCTCTAATTTGTCATATATTTGGTAGATAATTGGAGTGGAGAATTGATCGTTGCTTAATTGAGTGAATTAGCGTCTACCACATTTTTGATAGGAAGTTGATTCACGATAATGTTCTCTAGAGTAAATGAATATGCACCTCAACCAAAGATGATTGATAGAGCATGATGATTGTTAATAATGAGGTGATCAATGTTGATATTAACCTTGTCCTTATAGAGAAGGGAGTAAAGATTATTAAGGAACAATAGAGTATGTATAGTGTGAATGACAGTCTTAAAAGCTTAATTTGTAGGCGGATGAGAGGCAATTGAGAATATAGAGGATGATTTTCTCCTTATCAATATAAGAACCAAATTAATGATGTAATGTTGTTGATCATAGCTATGACTTTGGATAGGTATTGAGTCATCATATGAGATTTTTCAAGGAGATATGATGGAACTCGTTTATTTATTTGAACGGTGCAAAAGATTTGTGGATTATGATCACCTAATTTAGGTGCTTCTAAGCTAATTCTCTAACAGAATGATAAAATTAAAGCTGTAGGTATATGGGGAAATAAAGAGAAATTTTTATGTATAAGAAGAGTATTGCGATAGATGAGACAATGGCTAATTCCTTGTCATTATGTTATTATAAAGCGTAATGCAAATATGCAATCCAAAACTGATTGCGTGTACGTGAAGTAACCAACTCCCGGAAAGCCTTAAATTTAATTAGTCCCACACCGCGTAACGCGACATGGCCACGGTGCTAACTTCATACAAAAGCGCGCAAGTTCTGGTGTTTGAAGTATCTTTGCGCTTGGGGCAATGACGCAGGCAGTGAGGTTATAACCGAGTCGCGTCTATTGCTGGTTGAAAACTATTTCCAAACCCCCTCTCGGGCTTGGGCTTGTCCTGGGCCCCGGAGAATTTCTGGAAGGGATCCCGACAGGGATAATCCCTACAAATAAATTTAAATTTTAGGAAAAATATTTAGATAGTTCAAAATATATGGTACTTTAGGCAGGCTTTTTTTGATTGATAAATTGTTATGGGCTACTAAAAAATTAATTTATTATTTTTTTATTTTATTATATAATTTCTTGAATTATAAATAGTTTTCTTTTTATGATAAATGAGACATGGAGTATAAAGCTCAAGGTTGGTACTTTAATTGTCCTTAAAAATTATCATTATTTGAAACTTATCTTATCAAATACTTAAGCTACAATCACAGCTTTGAAAGTTGGATCAGACAACGAATCGGAAGAGGGAGAAATTCACGGTTCCATGGGGTCAAATTTGATGATGTAATAAATAATAATATTAATAAAAATTAATAAAATAAAATTCATATAATATAAGTATATGAGTATTTAATAATATTTATAAAATTTTAAAATATATAATAAAATTTTAGATATATAAATATCATTTAAGAATAATATATTTATAAGAATAATACTTAATATAATATATAAATTTATAATATAAAAAATTTATGATCATTAATATAATAGAAATAATTAAATATATGAATATTTAATAATATTTATAAATTTTTTAAAATATAATAAAATTTTATAAATATAAATAATATTTAAGAATAATATATTTATAAGGATATATTTATATTTATAAGAATAATATTTAATATAATAATTAAATTTATAATATTAAAAAATTATGGTCATTAATATAATATAAACAAAGGCGGATGAAGGTGGGCATGCCCCCCCACCCACCAAAAAAAAATTGGGTTTAGAAATTATAAATTGGATACTTATATCATAGATATACGATTTGATGATCAGCTCACCTCATTAAAAGATATTGGAAGTCTTGCTGAGAAAATGATCTAAAGTAGGAAGGATATAATATATCATGTTGTTTTTAAATTACTAGAATTCGCATTGGTATTACCCGTTGCTACAACAGGTATTGAAAGAGCATTTTTTATCACAAATATTATAAAAAATGAGTTGCAAAATAGGATTGGCGATCAATGAATGAATGATTTATTAATTGCTTATGTTAAAAAAGAAAATTAGTAATAATTTACATTAAACTATACACTTATATGTAAATTAAATTTATATTTTAAAAATATTATTTTAATAATATTATTATTATTACATCATCCGATTCGACCCAATTAAATCAGTCTAACTGATTGAACCGTGAACTTCTCCTTTTTTTTATGTTCATTATCCAATCAGATTTTTACAACCTTGCTACAAATCAAATAATCACTAAATAAGATAAAAATTTTGAGGAAAAATATTTTACAAATTTATATATAACACTTTTGCTTGGTATAATGACTTAGGCTTTATTTGAGATGGCTTTTTCATTATTTTTTAAAATATTTTAGAAAACTGATTTAAAATCATTAAAAAAAAAACCTATTCCAAATGAAACCTTAGCATTGTTTTAGGCCATTAAGTACTCTATAAATGAAAAAGAAAAAAAATCAGTTGTAGTTTTCATGCGATTAATTTATTACTAAAAAAGATCAGAAGAAAAACAAAGAATCCTATAGCCCTAATTTTGCATGCGATCGTGATCCAAAAAAGCCTCACCGTCGACCATATTAAAAGCATTGAAAGAACAAAATAGAAAGTTGACTAATAATAGAGATGAGTGACATGACCAAAGGTCCACGCATGAGGTGTAGAAACAAAGAGATTATTATGTGCAGCGTCTAAATCGTCCGCAGGCGAATCCGGACGCACCTCGTCACCCAGAAGCACCAGACCCCGGGTGACGCGGCACATCCAGATTCACCTCCGGACGGATCCGGACATCTGCACATAATAACTTTTCGTAGAAACAAGATTGTAGATGGCATTATAACTAACCATAATTGATGTATAGTATAGTAACAAGATTGTGGAGGGCATTATAAATAACCATAATGGCCCTCCCTTGAGGATGGGAAGGATGTCAAGGTGGGTTTGAGACACATGATGGTACACTATTCAGAAGAGGTAAAGAGAGAGAGAGATAATCATAACTTTAATTAACACCCACAAATAAATATAAGAAAGTGAATAAGTGACACATAATTTTGGCATTAAAAAAATATTAAAAAGCCTTGTCTACTTAAATGACCTTCCACTAATATTTCGTGTAAGTTACAAAAAGTTGCTATCCAAAATTCGGAGCAAATATTAATATTAAATAAGTGAAGCTAAAATTTCAGTGGAGTGAGCAACTATTATGACCCCACCGAGCTTAGCTGGATTGATGGGCTAGCGTTGTTAGAAATCCCACAACCCACGTTCGATTCCTCTCTTAAGCGGCACTCCTTAAGTAGAAAAAAAAAAAATGCGTGCGTGGTCCGACACCTATGGGGCTGGTTGCCGCTAGGCCTGCCAAGGGATTAGTTACTCCACCAAGCACATCCACTATGAAAGTGGTAGCGGATAGATACCTCCGTTCCAAAAAAAAACCCATTTAATGTATTATCTATTTCACTTCCACAGATAGTTAACAAACATAATCTTTTTATTATTTTTTTTAATAAAATAGTGAACTAATCAACTAGGTTGGATCCATAATTTTTTTTTCCTTTCAAATTTATCCATATAAAATCAATTCATTTTATCTTCAAAGTCTAGAATATTATTGAAATTTATCAGTTAATATAAGCCTGCTATATATAACACAACAATATAATAAAATAATAATAATTCTCAAATATAAAAGAGCCAAATAATTAATAAACAGCATATATCAAATATAATTACAAAAATAAAAAAAAACAATTAAAATTTAAGAAATTTTGAATCTCCCTTGAACAGAAAAGGGTCTGCTCTCTACTTTGGTTGGTCTGCCCTCAATCATATCCACAACCATCTCAGCGGTACCTAACGCCTAATTGCAAAGAACCATAAGATATTTCGTTCATTTAAAAAAAAAAAAAAAAAAACTTTTAAGTGATCATTAAGGCTCTGTTTGGCTCTATTTGATTTGATTTATGACGCCTTCAAATAATAATAAATTAGTTTATGTGATTACATTAAAATAATTTTTTTGCTTCGCCAATAAATAATAATTTGAGGTTTGAAGAGATGAAATGAAATAAACTAAAAGTAGTTGAGTGAAATAAAATTGGTTTGTTGAGGAACATTTTTGTGAATCTTGTGAGGAGAAAAAATGTCATAATGACAAATAGATAAAATTTTTCCCATTTTTTCATAAAATTTAGGTAGACAATTGTTAACAAAATATATATTTCTCACAATTGTTAAATAAATTTAATTGTCTAAATAATAATGGAACTGTAAAATTCATTTGCACTCCCTCCAATTTATTTCATATCAAGTGTTTTATTGTCCTTACATAGAACTTTTATTTTATCCAGTGAACGTACGCTCCTCTACGTTCGGATCTAGGCAAAAAAAGCGCAATACCGAGTACCGAATACCGAGTTGTACAGAGTTTTTTAAAAAAACTCGGTATTGCACTGTTTGGGTCTAAAACCGAACGTAGAGGAGCGTACGTTCACTGGATGTAATAAAAGTTCCCTTACCTATGGTCCACCTAGCTTAACTAAGTTGACCATAGTTTGAACTAAGCTAGCCTAATTAACCCTAGTTGTCCCCCTTTATGGAACTTTGATCATACTATAAGTCACTCTTTAACTGATCTAGGATGGACTAGCCTGGGAGCTCTAGGATCAAGATAGTAAGATTAGAGAATTGTTCTAGTCCTTCTGGGTATTTCTAGAGGTAAGCAAGCCTCCTGAATCAGCAAAAAAAACTTTTAGGGTACCCTAAATCCTTAAATCATAATAGGTCAAATATGTCCTTAGGCTAGTGAAAACCCCAGTCCACCTAGCATGCAACCCACACCAATTTATATGGGCCAACACTTAAGACTTCCAATGCTTGCCAAGGGATTCGAACCAAAGACCTAGACTTTGCCCAGCCGGCTCTTTACCACCCGGAAAAGTAGCGGTGGGTCAAATATGTCCAGTGAATAAGTTAATGTAAATAGCAATGGTACAAATGTTAAGCTGATTCTTTAGTTTAAAGAATAAAATAAAATCATTCTTTAGTTTGAGTAGAACATACCAGGCAAAGTCCATTTCCTTCATGTCCAGTGGCAAGTAAGACTTTTGGTAAACAAGGAAGACGCCCGATCACTGGCTTGTCATCAAGAACTGAAAAGATACATATAAAATGCCTCATATAGAAGTTAAGTTGCTTATATTTTCACCTTCTCTTTATTACATTCTTTTAAAACTAAAATGAAATAAAGTGAATTTCAAAGAAAATTATTTGATAGACTATCTAAGCAATATAAAATATAAGATGGTTTCATAAGGTAGAGAACATGTAAAATGACTTGATAATATTACCGTAAGGACGGTGTCCTACTCTTATTTCCTTGAATTGATTTAGCCCACAAGGAAGATTTCTCAGAGCTGGAAAGAACTCTCCTGCCCTTGCCATCATATCTTTAACAACATTTTCATCAACTTCTCTACTAAAACCAGAGAATTCACGACTACTTCCTGTGATTCAAAAGTTAGATCTGTCTAATTAACTTAGCAATAGAACAGTGAAACATTATAATTTCTGAGACAAGCTGTAAATTATAAGTCACTTAGGGTATCTCCAACCGAATTCCAAACGCTTGAATGACGTCGCTTGTGAGCTCCAACCGAACGGTAAAACTTCCGCTATTTGGATGCGGGTGAACAGTGCAACGCCAATATTGGCGTTGCACTATTCATATGCGCTATTTTTCTGTCTCTAACCAACTTGCCGAAGAAACGCGCGAAAGAAAGAAAGACCGTTATCATCGCAAAATGAGCCAAAATGGAGTTCGACTGGAGATGAATCACGGCATTTTTTAGTTTCACGGTATTTTGGAGTGGAAAATGAGATTTTCAATTGGAGATGGTCTTAATATGCTGACAATGTCATAGAGAATATGCACATGAGATTATAAGCACATTTCTCATATAAATCAAATATATATTATAAAAAATCAATTGGTTAAAGTGGAATCAAACGAAACCTAGCTTATTTGATAGAAGAACTTAAATAAATGGAAGTAATTATATTTATAAAAAAAATTGCAAATACATTAAACTAGGATTTGTATAGAAATCTTTTGTGTTACCAATAACAAGACTTCCATTGACATCTTTTGTAACAGCCATTGATATGGATGGCAAGTTCTCCATGTCTTCAGCTCCTACTTCTGGTGAATGAGAAGCTTCAGAATCAATGTAACCAACCTCCATGAGACCATGGTTTACTTGAATAATGTTGGTTTCTGGATTCTTCAAGATGAGAAGATGGCCCTGAGGATACGGAATACAAGAGAAGAAAATTAGTCATTTAATTACTAATGAATTTAATTGAGATTTAAGAGAATAAAAGAGATTTTTAATTTTTTTATTTGTTTCAGTTTGAGAAACTCAATAACAGCAAGAAGAAAAAGAAGAATTCAAAACCTTTCGAGGCATCACAGGTATTTCCGGCATCAAATCTGGCTCCTGCACTAGACCTTTCAGTAGAGAGCCACTCCATGCTCCAGCTGCAATAACCACAGCCTTTTTGTAGCACAAGAATCTCTGCGAAGTTTTGACTGCATCTTTATCTTCTTCACCTTTCTTGGAACTGCGAATTTATTTTTATATTATTAAAAATAGAAAGAAAAATAAACAATTTTAAATTTGTCAGAAATAGTTAATAAAGTGCAAGTATATATATTGGGTTTTTAAATACCCAATCCCAATTAAGAACAGATCAAAGCTTTCCATCGACCCATCTCAAGATTGAGGCAGGCCCCGTTATAAAATATAGCTCATTAAATTCAATTTGAGCAAAATCCGATTTAATTTTCAGAATTCTAGAACTTCTTTTAGTCTAATAAACATATGGGCATCAATATATATAAGTTGAATCGCCTGGGCCAAACTAGAGTCAACTTGGCCAACTAGGAGAGGAGAAGTCAACCTCACTGGTCGGTTATACAATACTAGCTTGACAATTAGGCATCATCAATCCTGAGTCACTACGATAATTCACACCCACAAGGGAGCAGATGCCTACAACAAGTTTAGCGGATATAAGAATGAAGCAGCGTGAAGTACTTAAAAAGCTCACCAATCTACTCAACTCTAGAAGCCAATAAGCACACTCTTTCATGTCCTCCAATAATCAATATAGTAACTTGCCAGAACTCGGCCAACCAATGAGAAGTGGACCAATGACTTTATATGAGTCGGCCCCCAATTTGGAAAGTATTAATGACTATCTAATGTAATTAAAGGATCTAATTAGCACATCTTCAATTTATGGTAATATATCATCAGGTTATATTTCATAATTTATGTATTTACCTCTAATGTAACATTCCTATAGAGCTTAGCGTATACTTCCACCTATAAATATGGAGTCAGCGGATAAGCCTAAGAACACAACACTCGATACATAAAATCATTGTCTTAAGGCCCTTACTCTATCAATAATGAATTATAGAATTTTTCTTCTGCTTCTTTCTATATACGTCCATGTTTCTCTATTTTTTGGTAGCCAGCATTGTGAGTAAGGTCCAGGTGTCACCCACAGAAAAGTTCAAATCAGATCAAATTTTAATGAGTCTCATTAGTTGAATTTTTCATTTATAAACCAAACTAAGATCCCGCATAATTTACGAGCAAACTTCACTCTTAAATTAAATTCACAATCCTATTCACAACTTAGATAGTTTTTAGAGGGCTACACTATTTATGTAAATAGTGAGACAATCATTTGTTAATTTTGTGTGGAATCTGATTGTGTCGATCAACTGAGTTGTACTGTTGCCTCAAACCTCAATTCAGTTTGTAAGACTGCTTGATGGGTTGTAGGGGGTTCTCCCCCTACTTGGTTCTGGTGCTTTATATATATATATATATA